TCAAGAGCCAAGCCAAAGTGCTCTTCTTCCAACGAGCAGAAGGCATTTCTGTAGGGCTGGCATAAGTCAGGCAGTTCAAGATACCCGCAAGGGGTTGAATAAAATGTATCCAGTGCGTCCTGCAAGACTTCAGCCTCTTTCTCATCCAGCAGTTCCCTGTTGAGCCTGGAAAAGTAGGAAAAGTAAAGAATAAGCCAGGGGGAATCAGAAACCACACAGCCCCAGCTAGATTTCATAGGTAACATAAGGAAGTGTTTGGAAAGAAAAAGGACAGCTCTATTAATGAGGTAACAGATTATTGCCTTAATGTTGGCACAATCAGGGCCAGGTAGAAAAGGATGAAAGAGAAAGAAACACACACACACACACACACACTCACACACACGAGACAGAGATAGACAGAGAGAGTAAGAGCTCAGTGAATCGGCCAGGTGACACACTGATGAGGCAGTCAAAGAACACTTTGTATTTGTGCCCTCAGGACGAACAGTGAACAGTGATCATGAAAACAGTGGGCTCAATAATTTTGCATAAAATGTGCTCAAGTTTCCCTGCAGTCACCATGAGAATACAGCTTTTGAGGCATGGTCAACCTTCAGTAGGTTAGTAAATGATAAGGGTGGGAAAAAATGGAAACCTAAATATTTACTGTAATGAAAACCAAAAGCAATATTAGTGGGCATAATTCAGACTTGTCTGATAAGGCAAAGTCACTCTTTTCAGCATGTACTGTTATCCCTGCACTTGACGTCTCTAGGTGTCAACAGCAAATGAACTGTCCACAATTTCTCAGACTCACCTGGGACCTGTGGCCTCTTGGTCCTCCTTTTTCACTTCATCACACCAATGTCCTGCAAATAAATTCAGATGGGGCCTCTTACATGAAGCAGTTCTTCCTTGCACACAGAAACATTCCTCTGTCCAATCCTAACACAGGGACATCAGTCTTCTCAGTGTGGGAACAGAAGACTTTGAGAGAAACATAACCAGAGGCATGAGGTCAAGTCTTGAGAGAACTGACTTGGTTCCTTTCATGAGCCTTGGGCAAAATTCCTCTCTTTTGGAATGTTATCTTGCCAATGTGATCTGTCCTAGGTTTGTGTACACAAATGAGCAATGACTTTCCCAATAGATTCCAGGCAAATACTTCTAACACCTCGTAGGAGAGATGCTGCAATATTCAGGTTTCTCACATCAAATACCCAGGATTTGATAGTTTATGAGATTGTGGACACTGAGATTTCATGTAGGGGTGTAATATTCCAGCTCTTGTTACAACGAGACTTGGTTCGACACAGAAGCATCAGCTATTATGGCTTTTGTGGGTGAAAAGTCAGTCATTTATCTAGAAAACATACCAGCAAGACGATGGACAGATGAGCTAAAACAAGCCAACTCAGAAGACACAGAAAATGGGGATAAATTCACTGAAACCTGGGTCACATCTCCGATTCAGAGGTAGACAAGGGTGACACTGGCCTCGGGCAGGTAAAGAACCCGCACAGACATGCTTTGGGAACAAAACTCATGAGGAACTTTGTAGCTGGCAAGACACATTTAATTCACATGAACTGATCTGACAGATAACACCTGGGCATGTGCTGCATGGCTTTGGTGTGAGTTTGCCACACCTGCCTTGAGTTCCATGTCCTGACAGTCAGTCTAGGGTGGCACTGGCATGGCCTGAGACTAGCAAGATATTAAGCTCACTGAACCACGCCATGCCTGTACTTCAGACTCGACTCCAGAGTGATTGAAATCTACATTGATATATAGGTTAAACCCACAGTGATGGCAACTCTCAGCCCAAACCAGGGGCGGAAAGCCCCAAGATTACGGGGGTCTACTTGGGACATGAACTGGAGCTTTATCACCTTCACAATGGAGTACTCACTGCCCACGTCAAAGCCAAGTCCACTTGTGTTCCTCTAATGAGTGAAAGGTGCTGCTGTAAGACTGGTATGAGGCAGACATGTCAGGAGGAATTGAGGGAGTCGAATAACCTTCATCCCAGGATTCCTGGAGAGCTTCCTCCTCTTCAGACTCCTGCAGATTCCTGATGACACAGGGCAGGACAGGGATGACAGAAGATTTAACCGACCAGAGATTAGACAGCAAAACCTCCCACATGATCTGATGGGAGGCAGAATGGAGTGGTCACAGAAACCAAAGCCAGTTTTCCTTCCACGGAAATGAAAGTATCCTTCTAAATGCAGGGCAGAGGGTGACTGCCCTGGGGAATGACCAAAAATGGGCTGCACGTGCTCAGTACACTTGCCACAGATGAGCCAATGTAGGGCACCCCGACTCTCCCTGTAAACTACCCTCATGACTTGCAGCACAGAGACTAACACAAGATTTCAACTACTTTGCATAAATTGCGTTGAATTTTCCATACAGCATTCAAGTGAACAGAGCTCTTGAGGCAGTGCAGACCACAGATCTTGTGTGCTAAGGCCCCATTTTCCCAATATTTTGATAGAATATGTTTATTTTTCAGTTTCTTTTCTTGCACAAATACTGGAAAACATACTAACAAAACATAAGCAGAAAGCATATGTACATTCTCTCCCTGGATTTAAACGCAGGGGACAGAACAGGCGCACCAAGAAATCCCTGTTTGAGGGTCTGGAGTGGACCTCCAGCAAACTCCACCAGACCTGCAGCTGAGGGACCTCACTGTTAACAAGAAAACTAACAAACAGAAAGGAATAGCATCCACTTCAACAAAAAGGACATCCACTCCAAAACCCCATCTCTAGGTCACCAGCATCAAAGACCAAAGGGAGAGAAAAACCACAAAGAGGTGGAGAAACCGGAGCAGAAAAAGCTGAAAATTTTAAAAACCACAGCGCCCCCTTCTCCTCCCAAGGATCAGAGATCCTCGCCAGCAACGGAACAAAAAAAGGGCAGAGAATGACTTTGACGAGATGACTGAAGCAGGCTTCAGAAAGTTGGTAATAACAAACTTCTCCGAGTTAAAGGAGGATGTGCGAAAACATCGCAAGGAAGCTACAAACCTTGAAAAAAGATTAGACGAATGGCTAACTACAATAAACAGTGTAGAGAAGACCTTAAATGACCTGATGGAGCTGAAAACCATGGCATGAGAACTACATGAACATGCACAAGCTTCAGTAGCTGAATCGATCAAGTGGAAGAAAGGGTATCAGTGATTGAAGATCAAATTAACCAAATGAAGTGAGAAGAAAAGTTTAGAGAAAAAAGAGTAAAAAGAAACAAACAAAGCTGCCAAGCAATATGGGACTATGGGAAAAGAACAAATCTACATTTGATCGGTGTACCTGAAAGTGATGGGGAGAATGGAACCAAGCTGGAAAACACTCTTCAGGATATTACCCGGAGAACTTCCCCAACCTAGCAAGGCAGGCCAACATTCAAATTCAGGAAATACAGAGAACACCATAAAGATACTCCTCCAGAAGAGTAACCCCAGAAACATAATTGTCAGATTTACCAAGGTGGAAATGAAGGAAAAAATGGTAAGGGCAGCCAGAGAGAAAGGTCGGGTTACCCACAAAGGGAGAGCCCATCAGATTAACAGCACATCTGTCTGCACAAACTCTACAAGCCAGAAGACAGTGGGGGGCCAATATTTAACATTCTTAAAGAAAAGAATTTTCAACCCGGAATCTCATATCCACCCAACCTAAGCTTCGTAAGTGAAAGAGAAATCAAATCCTTCACACACAATCAAAGGCTGAGAGATTTTGTCACCACCAGGCCTACCTTACAAGAGCTCCTGAAGGAAGCACTAAACACGGAAAGGAATAACCAGTACCAGCCACTGCAAAAACATGTCAAATTGTAAAGACCATCGATGCTAGGAAGAAACTGCATCAACTAACAGGCAAAATAACCAGCTAACATCTTAATGACAGGATCAAATTCACACATGACAATATTCACCTTCAATGTCAATGGGCTAAATGCCCCAATTAAAAGACACAGACTGGAAAATTGGATAAACAGTCAAGACCCATCAGTGTGCTGTGTTCAGGAGATGCATCTCACGTGCAGAGACACACATAGGCTCAAAATGAAGGGATGGAGGAACACCTACCAAGCAAATGGAAAGCAAAAAAAGCAGGGATTGCAATCCTAGTCTCTGGCAAAACAGACTTTAAACCATCAAAGATCCAAAGAGACAAAGAAGACCATTATATAATGGTAAAGGGATCGATTCGACAAGAAGAGCTAACTATCCTAAAGATATATGCACCCAATACAGGAGCACCTAGATTCATAAAGCAACTCCTGAGAGACCTAAAAAGACACTTAGACTCCCAGACAACAATAATGGGACACTTTAACACCCCACTGCAATATTACACACATCAATGAGACAGAATGCTAACAAGGATATCCAGAACGCAAACTCAGCTCTGCACCAAGCAGACCTAACAGACATCTACAGAACTCGCCACCCCAAAATCAACGGAATATACATTCTTCTCAGCATCGCATCACACTTATTCCAAAATTGACCACATAGTTGGAAGTCAAGCACTCCTCAGCAAATGTAAACAACAGAAATCACAACAAACTGTCTCTCAGAACACAGTGCAATCAAATTAGAGCTCAGGATTAAGAAACCCACTCAAAACTGAACAACTGCATGGAAACTGAACAACCTGCTCCTGAATGACTACTGGGTAAATAATGAAAGGAAGGCAGAAATAAAGATGTTCTTTGAAACCATTGAGAACAACGACACAACATACCAGAATCTCTGGCACACATTTAAAGCAGTATGGAGAGGGAAATTTCTAGCACTAAATGCCCACAAGAGAAAGGAAAGATCTAAAATCAACACCTTAAAATCACAATTAAAACAACTAGAGAAGCAAGAGCAAACAAATTCAAAAGCTAGCACAAGGCAAGAAATAACTAAGATCAGAGCAGAACTGAAGAGACAGAGACACAAAAAATCCTTCAAAAAATCAATGGGCCAGGCGTGGTGGCTCAAGCCTGTAATCCCAGCACTTTGGGAGGCCGAGACGGGCAGATCATGAGGTCAGGAGATCGAGACCATCCTGGCTAACACGGTGAAACTCGGTCTCTACTAAAAAATATAAAGAACTAGCTGGGAGAGGTGGCGGGTGCCTGTAGTTCCAGCTACTCGGGAGGCTGAGGCAGGAGAATGGTGTAAACCCAGGAGGCAGAGCTTGCAGTGAGCTGAGATCCGGCCACTGCACTCCAGCCTGGGTGACAGAGCGAGACTCCGTCTCAAAAAAAAAAAAAAAAAAAAAACTCAGTGAATCCAGGAGCTGGTTTCTTGAAAAGATGAACAAGATATCCCTCTTTGGCTAGTTCACCTGGCTCAACTGATTGCAAGTACTTATCTTCAGAGGACTATGAAATTAAAACCAATACAAGTGCCACAAATCATGCACAACATTGTTAATAAGGACAATTTGTAGCTGAGTGAATGAAAGAAATCGTTCTATTCATCGCTTCCTCATTTTCCCGAAATCTACAATCTCCAGGTGTCACTACTGAATTCACAGCTCACAATTCCACAGCATTACCTGGGAGACACTGGCCCTTTTTCTTCCTCTTCTTCATGATCACTTTCATTTTCTGTAAATACATTCAGAGAAGCAGGTCACATTAAGCAATTCACACTTCACATAGGACCAAATCACTGTCCAGTCATAGCACAAGGACCCAACTATTCTCAGAGCAAGAACATGGATTCTGACATGAATATTCTAGGGTGGTCTAGATTAAGTCTGGTGAGAAGTAGAATACCCTGCTTTCCAGTCCCACAGGCCAAAATTTCCCTCTGTGGGTAGACTATAATGCCATATTCCCTGCCTGCGTCTATGCAAAGAAAATAAAATTTTCCCCCCAAAATCTCCAAAAATTAGTCGAACAATTTTCTAGGAGTGTTGCTGCAATACTGACTTATATCATCAGGTACCATGGACATTAAATGTTCAGAGGCATCTGTACATGAAACCCAACTGATAGACGCATTCTAACAACTCTTGCTTTAAAAAGAATCTGGGATTCGGGAGGCCAAGGCAGGTGAATCATTTGAGGTCATGAGTTCAAGATGAACCTGGCCAATACGGGGAAACCCCATCTCTACTGAAAATACAAAAATTAGCCAGATGTGGTTGTGTGTACCTGTGGTACCAGCTACTCAAGATGCTGAGGCAGAAGAATCACTTCAATCTGGGAGGCGGAGGTTGCATCAAGCCAAGATGGTGCCACTGCACTCCACCGTGGTTGAGCAAGACTCCATCGCCAAAAAAATCCCACCACCGCCACCAACAACAACAATCTATGATGCGACAAAGAAACATCGGATCAGCTATTGCATTGATGGGGTGGAGAACCAGGGTCCAGCCTTGCTTTATGGAACTGTATCAGCAAACTAAACAAGAAAGTTTCCGTCCACATTTCAATGGGACTGTGCAGCTAACCAAGCTGACTTAAAAGAGATCAAGATTAAAGCTGAGAGTAGTGAAGCCTGGGGAGCAATATATCCAAATACAAAGGCAAGGCTGCTAGTCTCCTTCAAAAGGCATAGAAACTCCATGGACATTGTTCAGGGACACATGACTTAATCACAGGTGACAAGAGATACTGAATCGAAGCTAGGAAGCCTCACAGTTACTTCCCATGCACCTCCTGCACTCAGGTGACTATGAGGTTGTCACACTTGCCTGGGGTCCAGTAACTTCACACTGGGGGACCGGGAGACAAAGGCATGACATGAGCTGAGAAGGACAGAAAACCTCCCTGATATCTGGGTTTAGAATCCCATCGCAGATTTTTATGTAAACCAATTTGTGTGTATAGAGTCTGTCTTCGGGGTTATACTTCCTCAGCACAGAAAGAGGAATGAGACACAAGGAAAATAGAGGCTACCTGGGATAATGGATACAGCATCCTCCCATTCATCATGAGAGGATGAGTCAATGAGACGTGAGTTGACTTGGTCTTCCTCAAATGTGATTTTGGTGTTGCTTTGAGGCTGGTTGGACTCACAAGGACCGTGGCTATTTGAACAAGCGATGGAATATTCCTCCAGTGAGTCCTCAGGTTCTTCCTTCTCTTCAGCCTTCTGCACCTCCCTGATGAGCCAGGTGGGAGAGAGATGTCAGAAGATTAAACACAGAGGGATCGGACCCCAGGGAGCCCTAGCTGGTTTTCACAGAAGCCATTAAGACTGTGGTCACAGAAAGCAAACAGGAGGTTCCCTTTAAGGAGGGAACAGGCAATCCTCTTCTCTCTGCAACAGAGCATGGCTGCCATGGAGACAGAGAGGAAGAGACCAATCCGGTGTTCATTTCACTGGAGAGACAGGAGCTGAGAAAGATGAAGACTCAGCTATCCCTGTTCGGTACAGATATGACACTCACCACACACAGAGAAACACAACAGCTGCCACACCCTGTGTCTAAGCTGGGTTGAATTTCACATACTGTGGCCAAAGGAATGCAGGCTTTTGGCCATCCTAGATGCCAGACAGGGTGTGCCTCATAGATCTTTTTCCTATGTTAAAACCCATTACTTGCTCCTGATTTTTCAGTGTTACCTGGGGGCACGTGATTCCTGTACTTTCTCAGTTTCCTCAACGTTCACATCTCATCCTCATCTTCACCGTTTTCTGTAAATACAGAAGTGTCCATTCAGATATTTCCCACTTCACATTCTCAGGCACAGTCAGCCCAATGTCACACAGACATGGACATCTAGGCATGGGTCACCGTTCAATTGAAAGCTCTCATGTTTTATCTTTAACAAAATGCCCTGGCATGGTTTCTGATCCATCAGGCAATGCATTTTCTGATCTGGAGGGCCACCATCAAGATGTGGCCAAATATTGAAAAGACCCTTTGCTCCCCATATCACTGGGGACTTGTGCAGCCTCCCTCGGGACTTTGCAGCTGTCTCCATCATCCCACCACAAATCTGATTCCCAGGCACAGGCTTGGTGTCCCGTCATAGTTCACATTTCAAACCTAATTCTTTCTCTTAGAGAGGGACAAACTGGCCCCACAGTCGTCTATGCATCAGGAGACTTCACAGGCCTTCCATGTGGCTTCTGCTGTGTTATTCAGGGACATGCTCTCCATGGGGAGTGCTCCAGTCTGAAGCACTTCCTACCACCAAATGCCCCCATATCAAGTGCCTTCTCCAACACCACATGCCGAGGGGCTTTATCTCATTTTCAAAAGCAGTCGTAACTGTTCCCACATTGAGATGCTTCACAGCCTTGCAAGAGACAATATGCCTGCCTTTTCTGATGGAGAGAGAGAAACTCAAGAAAGATAAATCACTCACTCACCGACAGTTACTAAGAACATTGCCAAAGAGACAGCCTGGGAACCTTCATTCTAAGTCCACAGCTCTTTTCACTCTAACAAAAACCCTCCTGTCACAGCCTCCTTCCTCTCCTCTACAACTAGAGAGATGCTGCCTCTGGCTCCAAAGACCATCTCCACCAAGGAAGGAGGGACATTTGCAACTCCATGGGTTTCCCATCTCTGATCTCACCCAGGAAGTCCTGGAAGGGCCACATATGTTTAGTGGAAAAAAACACCACCGATACAACTGTCATGTGAAAGTATGGAGGTCGGGAGTCTCTCATAAGCCTGGGGTTTTGGGTCATCAGATCCTATGGAAACCTTACCTGGGGTGAGCTTTCGGACGAGGTGCTGTGCCAGCCTACAGCCCTCGGCCAGCTGTTCTTGGAGGTCCCGCCCCTGGGAGGTGGGCGGCTCATCCGGAGTGAGGAGGGCCTGGAGATGCTGATTCAATGCGCGGGACGCATTTCTCCCTTCCTGGAACTTCTCCCTTAACTGGCTCAGCTCTCGTTCCTGAGACTGAACCAGGACTTTATATTGCCTAAGGTGAGATAGTAGAGAAAATTGAACAGTGGAAAGGAGTGAGTGATCAGTTCGAATATTGCTACAGAGATTTCTGAGACAATGTTCTCAAGGAGACCTCCAAGGAGAAGATCAGCACATGTTTAAAGAAATGTCTGTGGCCAAGAGTAAGAATGAAAAATAGTTTACAGGCTTTCTCTATACCAGAGAGGGCTCCTGTAAGATCCTCGATGATGTTCCATTCATCTTTCCCTTCTCTAAACAAAAGTAGGTGTGTTCCTTATTCACTTTCAAAAAGACATTCATTCTTCCAGTTCCTCACTCTGGCCATGGACATTTCCATGTGAAAATACACATAGTGCATCTTGCAGTCACTAGATGCAAAGCCATGGACAGAAATGAGGCCACGTGCAGACGGGCCAGTTGAAAAGATGAAAGAAGGAAAGAATGACAGGCTCCAGAAGGCAACACTGATTGACCGAAAGGATGAGAAGCCGCAGTCAGTCAGGAGGTGATTCTGACTAAGGGTAAGTGGGGTGGTGATGGCGCACCATTTTGAGTACACTCAATGCTGCTGGGTGGTTACCACTCCTTTAGTTAATTTTGTATTATGCAAATCTCACCTCAACAATTACTTCTTTCAAAAAGAGAAATCAAGGCTCTGAGAAACAACTACAACCCTTAACTTATTATTGTCCTTGTTCTCTGTTTCATAAATCTTTGTGTGTTGTAAGCCTGCCATGGCAATTCCTGCCCTTCCCCAGACCCAGGTTAGCTCTTACTTCACCCAGAGGAGTGGCTGTACATCAGAGATTTACACACCTGCCCACCTGCCTGCATAGGGCCCCCTCACCTGAGCTCCTCAGCTTGCCCGAGCTGCTCTGCAAGCTTCTCCTCCTTCAACTGAAGCTCATCCCACAGCATAGATTTTAGGAGGTCTTTGCACTCTTCATAGTCTGAGAAAAGACAGACACACCGGCCTCAGTGAAAAGCTGGACACACAGCGGTGGTCACTGCCTACAGGGCAGGAGCCAGGTCCATCCAAAGGATATAATTGTCCCCAGTACCAGGCTCTAGGCAGGGATTTCCACCACTTTACTCTTCAGTCTCCCGACTTTATGGCATCTCAACCTCCAAAATTTAGAGACGAAGAAAGAGAAACTGAGGGACAGACAGGACAAGCTACTTGGATGGAGCCCAGGTGACAGGCCCAGGGTTCCTGCTCTGCACACTGCACTGCTACTTCCACACATTCTTGGGTGCGATCTTTCTTCTTCTATAGGAACAAAAGCCTCTTCCCCCAGGAAGTAGGACTTCCCTCACACCAGGGTACTCTCTGCATTTTTGTTTATTCTTTGAGGAGTCTTCTCCTGTCGCCCAGGCTGGAGTGCAATGGTGTGATCTTGGCTCACTGCAACCTCTGCCCTGGGTTCAAAGGATTCTCCTGCCTCAGCCTCCCAAGTAGCTGGGATTACAGGTGCCCACCACCACGCCCCGTTAATTTTTGTAATTTTAGTAGAGATGGGGTTTCTCCATGTTGCCCAGGCTGGTCTCAAACTCCTGACCTCGTGATCCAGCTGCCTCAGCCTCCCAAAGTGCTGGGATTACAGGACTGAGCCACCTTGCACGGCCCCTACTCCCTGCTCTTGATACTGTCGGTTATGGATACCACGGGTTCTATTAGGAGCAGACTCCTCTTGACGCCCCTCACAGCGGGTACTGTGTACTGTCACCAAATTTCCCTCAGGGTCCCTAGAACAGAGATTTGCCTATTGGGCCTCAACAGAAGCTTGAACTGAATAAAAGTTCACTAGCCCAGACATTTAGAACAACAGACTAGATGTTATTTGTCTGCCAGATCTTATATGGTACAGAGAGGATTCTTGAAAACATGATTTAGCCTCTTGGAGAAAACAGGTCATTCTGTGCCTGTGTCTGAAACCATACTGAGATTTTACCTCTAGGCCCATCCCCACCTGACTGCAAACATGGAAAGTTTTGAAATACTTTGGTACCTCTCTCTTCCAACTTTAACAAAAGGTGAAAATACCCATTTCTATTTTCCTACAAGTATGGAAAGTATTACATTACTTCTGATGCAGAGAGAATTCCGTTTCTCAGAGAGAAGACAGGACATCATCACTTTTGTGATGGTGAGCTTAGGGAACTTACTGTAACTGTTCTGCCCCTTGGCCAGAAAGTAGGCCACTTGAGTTACAAGATATTTCTCCTTGGTGTTTATGAATGACGTTTGTTCTCTGCCTGCTGAGGGCGCAGTTTCTCATTGATTTCTAGAGTATTCATCTCTGACTTCTCACTGGACCAAGGGCCCGCAGATACCACCATGCTGACGTTTGTGGTAGAAGAGGTGGAGCCAGGGACTGGGGAGAAAAAAATCCAAACACATGATGGATTAATAACTGGTGAAATCAAATAGGTTGAATCAGGATTGAGGGATGTCACTGACAGCCTTGTCCACTGATTTGAAGATGCTGTTTCCCTGGTTTCACTCTTCTCATCTCCACTCTTGATCTCCTTTAAGTCACTTGTCTGAGCTACGCAGTCACCTTGAAACAGGACACCAACAGTTCCACTTTTTTCTTGCTTAGAAGTTTCTATAAAGCAAGGCTGGGCTCTGAGCTTTTTACCCCATGAGTGGCCAATGTTTCTGTGTAGCTCAAGAGATTGTTTTTTGTTTCGTTAATTTTTTTGTTTGATTGCTTGGTTGGTTTTGGTTTTTTATGTTTTGTTTGAGAGGGAGTCTCACTGTGTCGCCCAGGCTGGTGGCACGATCTCAGCTCACTGCAACCTTTGCCTCCTGGGTTCAAGTGATTCCATGCTCAGCCTCCCAAGTAGCTGGGATTACAGGCACCAACCACCATGCCAGCTATTTTTTGTATTTTTAGTAGAGATGCAATTTCGCCATGTTGGCCAGGCTGCTTTCGAACTCCTGACCTCAGGTGATCCGCCCACCGTGTCCTCCCAAAGTGCTGGGATTACAAATGTGAGCCCAGCGACCCTGGCCAGAGACTTCTTATTAATAACTAAGACAAGCCAATGAAAGGAGAGAGAGTCTAGCCTGAGAAAAGTGAATGAGGGTGGGAGGATCATCTGAGCCAATCCTCGCACCTAAGCCTCCTGAGCAGTTGGGACTCTAAGGGCAAAGGAACATGCCTGGCTAATGTTTTGTATTCATTGTAAAGATGGGTTTCACCATATTCTCCAGCCTGCTCTTGAACTCCTGAATTCAAATGATTCTGCCACTTGGGCCTCCCAAAGTGCTGCGAATATATGTGTGAGTCACCGCACCTAGCTCCATCCTAGTTGCTGAGTAAACCAATATGTACGTATATAGCCTGTCCTCACAATGGATCTTCCGTAGTCTAGACAGAGGTATGAGACACAAGGAAAATAGAGGCTACCTGCGACAAGGTTTAGAGCATCCTGCCGTACATCAGGAGACGATTCACGGTCTATAAGCAGAGTCAAGTCCATTTGGTCTTCCTCAAATGTGACTTTGGAGTTCTTGTGAGGCTGATTGGACTCAGAAGGGCCATAGCTATTTGAACAAGTGATGACACATTCTTCCACTGAGTCCTCAGGGACTTCCTTTTCTTCTGCCTTCCGCACCTCCCTGATGAGGTGAGATAGAGATGCCAGAAGATTAAACACAGAGGGATTGGACCCCAGGGAGTCCTAGCCGGTTTTGACAGGAGGCATTAGGAGAGTGGTCACAGAAAGCAAACAGGAGGCTCCCTTTAAGAGGGAACAGGCAATCCTCTTCTCTCTGCAACACAGCATGGCAGCCACGGGAGACAGAGAGGAAGAGGGCAACTGGTGTTCATTGCACTGGACAGATAGGAGCTGAGAAAGAAGAAGACTCAGCTCTCCCTGTTCAGTACAGACATCACACTCGCCACACACAGAGAAACACAACAGCGGCCACACCCTGTGTCTAAGTTGGGTTGAATTTCACATACTGTGGCCAAGGGAATGCAGACTTTTGGCTCATCATAGATGCCAGAGAGGGTGTGCCTTTTAGACCTTTTTCATATGTCAAAATCCATTACTTGCTCCTGATTATTCAGGGTTACCTGGGGACACATGACTCCTGTACTTTCTCAGCCTCCTCAACTTTAACATCTTCATCGTTATCTTCATCATTTTCTGTAAATACAGAAGTGTTCATTCAGATATTTCCCACTTCACACTCTAGAAGCACAGTCAGCCCAATGTGCACAGAGACATGAACATCTAGGCATGGGTCACCATTCAACTGAAAGCCCTCAGGTTTTACTTTAACAAAATGCCCTGGCATGGTTTCTTGTTCCATCAGGCAATGCATTTCTGATCTGGAGGGCCACCATCAAGATGTCACCAAATATTGAAAAGACCCTTTGCTCCGCATATCACTGGGGACTTGTGCAGCCTCTCTCTGGACTTTGGCAGCTGTCTCCCGCATCCCGCCACAGATCTGATTCCCAGGTACAGACTTGGTGTTGTGTCACAGTTCGCATTTGGAACCTAATTCTTTCCCTTTGGAGCGGACAAACTTGCCCGACAGTCCTCTATGCCTCAGGAGACTTCACAGGCCCTCCATGTGGCTTCTGCTGTGTTATTCAGGGACATGCTCTCCATGGGGAGTGCTCCAGTCTGAAGCACTTCCTACAACCAAATACCCCCACGTGAAGTGCCTTCTCCAACACCACATGGCGAGGGGCTTTATCTCATTTTCAAAAGCAGTCACAAGTGTTCCCACATTTAGATGCTTCAGACCCTTGCAAGAGACAATTTTCCTGCCTTTTCCGATGGACACAGAGAAACTCAAGAAGGATAAATTACTCATTCACCGACACTTACTAAGAACATTGCCAAAGAGACAGCCTGGGAACCTTCATTCTTAGCCCAGAGCTCTTTTCACTCTAACAAGCACCCTCCTGTCACAGCCTCCTTCCTCTCCTTTACAACTAGAGACATGTTGCTTCTGGTTCCAAAGACCATCTTCCATCAGGGAAGGAGGGACATTCCCAATACTGTGACCTCCAACCCCAAAGGTTGCATGGTTTCCCATCTCTGATCTCACCCAGGAAGTCCTGGTCATGTCATGGCCACATATGTTTAGTGGAAAAAAACACCACCGATACAACTGTCACTGTGAAAGTACGAAGGTCTGGAGTCTCTCATAAGTCTGGGGTTCTGGGTCATCAGGTCCTATGGAAACCTTACCTGGGGTGAGCTTTTGGACGAGATGCTGTGCCAGCCTACAGCCCTCGGCCAGCTGTTCTCGGAGGTCCCTCCCCTGGGAGTTGGCCGGCTCATCCGCAGTGAGGAGGGCCTGGAGATGCTGATTCAATGCACGGGAGGCATCTCTCCCTTCCTGCAACTTCTCCCTTAACTGGCTCAGCTCTCGTTCCTGAGACTGAACCAGGACTTTATATTGCCTAAGGTGAGAGAGTAGAGAAAATTGAACAGTGGAAAGGGGTGAGTGATCTGTTCGAATATTGCGACAGAGATTTCTGAGACACTGTCCTCAAGAGACCTCCAAGGAGAAGGTCAGCACACGTTTAAAGAAATGTCTGTGGCCAAGAGAAAGAAGGAAAAATGGTTTACAGGCTTCCTCTATATCAGAGAGGGCTCCTGTAAGATCCTCGACGATGTTCCATTCATCTTTCCTTTCTCTAAAAAAAATTAGGTGTCTTCCTTATTCAGTTTCAAAAAGACATCCTTTCAGCTCCTCACTCTGGCAATGGACATTTCCATGTGAAAATACACATAGTCTATCTTCCAGTGACTACATACAAAACCATATACAGAAATGCGGCCAAGTGCAGACGGGGCCAATTGAAAAGATTAAACAAGAAAAGAATGACAGGCTCCAGAAGGCAACATTGATTGGGTCAAAGATAAGATGCCGCAGTCAGTCAGGAGGTGATTCCGACTATGGGTAACTGGGGTGGTGATGGCACACCATTTTGAGTACACTGAATGCTGCTGGGTTGTTCCCACTCCTTTGGTTCATCATGTCTTATGCAAATCTCACCTCAACAATTACTTCTTTCAAAAAGAGAAAACGGGGCTCTGAGAAACAACTGCAACCCATAACTTACTACTGTCCTTGTTCTCTGTTTCACAAACCTTTGTGTATTGTGACCATGCCATAGCAATTCCTGCCCTTCCCCTGGCCCAGCTTGGCTCTTACTTCTACCCTCCGAGCTGCTATACGTCTGAGATTTACACACCTGCACACCTGCCTGCATAGGGCCCCCTCACCTGAGCTCTTCAGCTTGCCCGAGCTGCTCTGCAAGCTTCTCCTCCTTCAACTGAAGCTCATCCCTCAGCATAGATTTTAGGAGGTCTTTGCACTCTTCATAGTCTGAGAAAAGACAGACACACTGGCCTCAGTGAAAGACTGGACATGCTGCTGAGGTCACTGCCTACAGGGCAGGAGCCAGGTCCATCCCAAGGACATAACTGTCCCCAATACCAGGCTCCAGGCAGGGATTTCCACCTCTTTACTCTTGAGTCTCCTGACTTTCTGGCATCTCATCCTCCAAAATTTAGAGACAAACAAACCGAAACTCAAGGGCACATCAAGGAAGTTGACAAGATGATTCAACCACAATGAAGTGGAGTCAGAATTCACAGCCCCTGAGGTCTGACTCTGAATGCAGGGCCACTTTCCCAAGCCTTGCAGCCTCTCCTCCAAAACACTGCACTGGGGCATGAAGTAGAGATTTCTCGGACAATTGGGAAGGCCCCTAGGACTATGGGACTGATGGTTTCCCTTTTAATGGGAATTTCAAGGACAACTATGTCAAAGATCTTAAAAGTCTTTGATTTTTAAATCATAACTGCAGATATGATTTTAAGAATCATAACGGAAACATAAAGTATGAGACATAAGACCACAAGACTATGAAGGAAACATGCCCAAATACTAACAAAGTTTGTGTTAATTTACAAACAGTAGAATGAAGAACTAATAGATAGTGTTTACTCTGTGCCCATAAATGTTCTAGGAGATTGATAGAAATAGCTCATGTAACTCACTGCAGCAATTTACAGAGGTAAGTATTACTGTAGCACCCTATGAATAGATGAGGAAACTGACGGACACACAGGACAAGCAACTTGGATGGAGCCCAGGAGACAGGCCCAGGGTTCCTGCTCTGCACACTGCACTGCTACTTCCACACATTCTTGGGTACATCTTTCTTCCTCTTTAGGAACAAAAGCCTGTGCCCCAAGAAACAGGACTTCCCTCCCACCAGGCTACTCTCTGCCTTTTTTGTTTGTTTCTTTTTTGATGAGTCTTGCCCTGTCGCCCAGGCTGAAGTACAATGGCATGATCTTGGCTCACTGCAACCTCTGCCTCCTGGGTTCAAAGGATTCTCTGGACTCAGCCTCCCGAGTAGCTGGGATTACAGGCGCCCGCCACCACACCCAGCTAATTTTTCTAATTTTAGTAGAGACGGGGTCTCTCCACGTTGCCCAGGATGGAATCAAACTCCTGACCTCGTCATCCAGCTGCCTCAGCCTCCCAAAGTGCTGGGATTACAGGACTGAGCCACCTCGCACGGCCCCTACTCCCTGCTCTTGATGCTGTCGGTTATAGATATCACAGGTTCTATTAGGAGCAGACTCTCTTGACGCCCCTCACAGCGGGTACTGTGTACTATCACCAAATTTCCCTCAGGGTCCCTAGAACAGAGCTTGGCCTATTGGGCCTCAACAGAAGCTTGAACTGAATAAAATTCACTAGCCCAAGACATTTAGAACAACAGACTTGATGTTATTTGTCTGCCAGATCTTATATGGTACAGAGAGGATTCCTGAAAACATGATTTAGCCTCTTGGAGAAAACAGGTCATTCTGTGCCTGTGTCTGAAACCATCACTGAGATTTTACCTCTAGGCTCATCCCCACCTGACTGCAAACATGGAAAGTTACGAAATACTTTGGTACTTCTGTCTTCCAACTTTAACAAAATGTGAAAATACCCATTTCTATTTTCTAGAAGTAAGGGAAGGATTAAATTATTTTTGATGGAGAGAGAATTCAGTTTCTCAGAGAGAAGACAGGACATCATCACTTTTGTGATGGTGAACCTATAGAACTTACTATAACTGTTCTGCTGGTTGGCCAGGACGTAGGCCACTTGAGTTACAAGAAATTTCTCTCTAGTGTTTCTAAACTGTTCTTTCTTTTCTCCCAACTGTGGGCGCAGTTTCTCGTTGATTTCTGGAGTGTTCATCTCTGACTTCTCACTTGGCCAAGGACCAGCAGATGCCACCATGCTGATGTTTGCGGCAGAAGAGGTGGAGTCAGGGACTGGGGAGAAAAAATCCAAACACATGATGGGTTAATAACTGGTGAAATCAAATAGGTTGAATCAGGACTGAGGGATGTCACTGACAGCCTCGTCCACTGATTTGAAGATGCTGTTTTCCTGGTTTCACTCTTCTCCTCTCCACTCTTGATCTCCTTTAAGTCAACGTGTCTGAGCTACGCAGTCACCTTGAAATCAGGACACAAACACTTCCACCCTTTTCTTGCTTAGAAGTTTCCATAAAGCAAGGCTGGGCTCTGAACTTTTTACTCCATGAGAGGCCAATGTTTCTGTGTAGCTCAAGAGATTGTTTTTTGTTTCATTAAATTTTTCGTTTGACTGGTTGGTTGGTTTTGGTTTTTTATGTTTTGTTTGAGAGGGAGTCTCACTCTGTCGCCCAGGCTGGAGTGCAGTGGCACGATCTCAGCTCACTGCAACCTCTACCTCCTGGGTTCAAGTGATTTTCGTGGCTCAGCTTCCCAAGTAGCTGGGATTACAGGCACAAACCACCATGCCAGCTATTTTTTGTATTTTTAGTAGAGATGCAATTTCGCCATGTTGGCCAGGTTGCTTTCGAACTCCTGACCTCAGGTGATCTGCCCACCTCACCCTCCCAAAGTGCTGGGATTACAGATGTGAGCCAGAGACTTCTTATTAACAGCTAAGACAATCCAATGAAAAGGAGAGAGAGTCTAGCCTAAGAAAAGTGAATGAGGGTGGGAGGATCATCTGAGCCAATCCTCGCACCTAAGCCTCCTGAGCAGTTGGGACTATAGGGGCAAAGGAACATGCCTGGCTAATGTTTTGTATTCTTTGTAAAGATGGGTTTCACCATATTCTCCAGCCTGCTCTTGAACTCCTGAATTCAAATGATCCTCCCACTTGGGCCTCCCAAAGTGCTGCGAATATATATGTCAGTCACCGCAGCTAGCTTCATCCTAGTTTCTGAGTAAACCAATATATACCTATACGGCCTGTACTCAGAATGGATCTTCCGTAGCCTAGACAGAGGTATGAGACACAAGGAAAATAGAGGCTACCTGGGACAAGGTTTAGAGCATCCTGCCATCCATCTGGAGACGATCCACGGTCTATAAGCAGAGTTGGGTCCACTTGGTCTTCCTCAAATGTGATTTTGGAGTTCTTGTGAGGCTGGTTGGACTCAGAAGGTCCATAGATATTTGAACAAGTGACGGCACATTCCTCCACTGAGTCCTCAGGGACTTCCTTTTCTTCAGACTTCCGCACCTCCCTGATGAGGTGAGATAGAGATGCCAGAAGATTAAACACAGAGGGATTGGACCCCAGGGAGTCCTAGCCGGTTTTGACAGGAGGCATTAGGAGAGTGGTCACAGAAAGCAAACAGGAGGCTCCCTTTAAGAGGGAACAGGCAATCCTCTTCTCTCTGCAACACAGCATGGCAGCCACGGGAGACAGAGAGGAAGAGGGCAACTGGTGTTCATTGCACTGGACAGATAGGAGCTGAGAAAGAAGAAGACTCAGCTCTCCCTGTTCAGTACAGACATCACACTCGCCACACACAGAGAAACACAACAGCGGCCACACCCTGTGTCTAAGTTGGGTTGAATTTCACATACTGTGGCCAAGGGAATGCAGACTTTTGGCTCATCATAGATGCCAGAGAGGGTGTGCCTTTTAGACCTTTTTCATATGTCAAAATCCATTACTTGCTCCTGATTATTCAGGGTTACCTGGGGACACATGACTCCTGTACTTTCTCAGCCTCCTCAACTTTAACATCTTCATCGTTATCTTCATCATTTTCTGTAAATACAGAAGTGTTCATTCAGATATTTCCCACTTCACACTCTAGAAGCACAGTCAGCCCAATGTGCACAGAGACATGAACATCTAGGCATGGGTCACCATTCAACTGAAAGCCCTCAGGTTTTACTTTAACAAAATGCCCTGGCATGGTTTCTTGTTCCATCAGGCAATGCATTTCTGCTCTGGAGGGCCACCATCAAGATGTGGCCAAATATTGAAAAGACCCTTTGTTGCCTATATCACTGGGGACTTGCGCAGCCTCTCTCGGGACTTTGGCAGCTGTCTCCATCATCCCACCACAAATCTGATTCCCAGGCACAGGCTTGGTGTCCTGTCATAGTTCGCATTTCGAACCTAATTCTTTCTCTTAGGAGAGGACAAACTGGCCCCACAGTCCTCTATGTATCAGGAGACTTCACAGGCCCTCCATGTGGCTTCTCCTGTGTTATTCAGGGACATGCTCTCCATGGGGAGTGCTCCAATCTGAAGCACCTCCTACAACCAAATGCTCCCACGTCAAGTGCCTTCCCCAACACCACACGGCGAAGGGTTTTATCTCATTTTTAAAAGCAGTCGTAAGTGTTCCCACATTTGGATGCTTCAGAACCTTGCAAGAGACAATGTGCCTGCCTTTGCAGATGGAGAGAGAGAATCTCACGAGGGAAAAATCACTCACTCACCAACACTTACTAAGAACATTGCCAAAGAGACAGCCTGGGAACCTTCATTCTTAGCCCAGAGCTCTTTTCACTCTAACAAGCACCCTCCTGTCACAGCCTCCTTCCTCTCCTTTACAACTAGAGACATGTTGCTTCTGGTTCCAAAGACCATCTTCCATCAGGGAAGGAGGGACATTCCCAATACTGTGACCTCCAACCCCAAAGGTTGCATGGTTTCCCATCTCTGATCTCACCCAGGAAGTCCTGGTCATGTCATGGCCACATATGTTTAGTGGAAAAAAACACCACCGATACAACTGTCACTGTGAAAGTACGAAGGTCTGGAGTCTCTCATAAATCTGGGGTTCTGGGTCATCAGGTCCTATGGAAACCTTACCTGGGGTGAGCTTTTGGACGAGATGCTGTGCCAGCCTACAGCCCTCGGCCAGCTGTTCTCGGAGGTCCCTCCCCTGGGAGTTGGCCGGCTCATCCGCAGTGAGGAGGGCCTGGAGATGCTGATTCAATGCACGGGAGGCATCTCTCCCTTCCTGCAACTTCTCCCTTAAATGGCTCAGCTCTCGTTCCTGAGACTGAACCAGGACTTTATATTGCCTAAGGTGACATAGTAGAGAAAATTTAACAGTGGAAAGGGGTGAGTGATCAGTTCAAATATTGCGACAGAGATTTCTGAGACAATGTCCTCAAGGAGACCTCCAAGGAGAAGGTCAGCACATATTTCAAATGTCTGTGGCCTAGAGAAAGAACAAAAAATGGTTTACAGGCTTTGTCTATACGACAGAGTGCTCCTGTAAGATCCTCGACGATGTTCCATTCATCTTTCCCTTCTGTAAACAAAAGTAGGTGCCTTCCTTATTCACTTTCAAAAAGACATTCATCCTTTCAGTTCCTCACTCTGGCCATGGACATTTCCATGTGAAAATACACATAGTGCATCTCGCAGTCTCTAGATGCAAAGCCATGGACAGAAATGAGGCCCGGTGCAGAGAGGACCAGTCGAAAAGATGAAAGAAGAAAAGAATGACAGGCTCCAGAAGTCTTGTGATTGACCGAAAGGATGAGAAGCCGCAGTCAGTCAGGAGGTGATTCTGACTAAGGGTAAGTGGGTTGGTGATAGCGCACCATTTTGAGTACACTGAATGCTGTTGGGTGGTTCCCACTCCTTTAGTTAATTTTGTGTTATGCAAATTTCACCTCAACAATTACTTCTTTCAAAAACAGAAATCATGGCTCTGAGAAACAACTGCAACCGATAACTTATTATTATCCTTGTTCTCTGTTTCATAAATCTTTGTGTGTTGTGAGCCTGCCATGGCAATTCCTGCCCTTCCCCAGACCCAGCTTAGTTCTTACTTCACCCCGCCGAGCGGCTGTACTTCAGAGATTTACACACCTGCCCACCTGCCTGCATAGGGCCCCCTCACCTGAGCTCTTCAGCTTGCCCGAGCTGCTCTGCAAGCTTCTCCTCCTTCAACTGAAGCTCATCCCTCAGCATAGATTTTAGGAGGTCTTTGCACTCTTCATAGTCTGAGAAAAGACAGACACACCGGCCTCAGTGAAAAGCTGGACACACAGCGGTGGTCACTGCCTACAGGGCAGGAGCCAGGTCCATCCCAAGGACACAACTGACCCCAGTACCAGGCTCCAGGCAGGGATTTCCACCACTTTACTCTTCAGTCTCCCGACTTTCTGGCATCCCATCCTCCAAAGTTTAGAGACAAACAAAACCGAAACTGAAGGGCACATCAAGGAAGTTGACAAGATGATTCAATCACAATAAAGTGGAGTCAGAATTCACAGCCCCTGAGGTGTGACTCTGCATGCAGGGCCACTTTCCCAAGCCTTGTAGCCTCTCCTGCAAAACACTGCACTGGGTCATGAAGTAGAGATTTCTTGGACAGTTGGGAAGGCCCCTAGGACTATGGGACTGATGGTTTCCGTTCGGGAATTTCAAGGACAAATCTGTCAAAGATCTTAAAAATCTTTGATTTTTAAATCATATCTGCAGATATGATTTTAACAATCATAACAGAAACATAAAGTATGAGACATAAGACCACAAGACCATGAAGGAAATATGCCCTAATACTAACAAAGTTTGTGTTAATTTACAAACAGTAGAATGAGGAACTAATAGATGGTGTTTACTCTGTGCCAATAAATGTTCCAGGAGATTGACAAGAAATAACTCATGTAACTCATTGCAGCAATTTACAGAGGTAGGTATTACTGTAGCACCCTATGAACAGATGAGGAAACTGAGGGACAGACAGGACAAACAAGTTGCATGCAGCCCAGGAGACAGACTCAGGGTTCCTGCTCTGCACACTGCACTACTACTTCCACACATCCTGGGGTGCGATCTTTCTGAGGAACAAAAGCCTGTGCCCGAGGAAGCAGGACTTCCCTCTCACCAGGGTACTCTCTGCTTTTTCTTTTCTTTTAATTTTCTTTCTTTTTTTTTTTTTTTTTTTTTTTTTGACGAGTCTTGCCCTGTCACCCAGGCTGGAGTGCAATGGCGTGATCTTGGCTCACTGCAACCTCTGTCTCCTGGGTTCAAAGGATTCTCCTGCCTCAGCCTCCCGAGTAGCTAGAATTACAGGTGCCCACCACCATGCCCATGTAATTTTTCTAATTTTAGTAGAGACGGGGTCTCTCCACATTGCCCAGGATGGAATCAAACTCCTGACCTCGTGATCCACCCACCTCAGCCTCCCAAAGTGCTGGGATTACAGGACTGGGCCACCTTGCACGGACCCTACTCCCTGCTCTTGATGCTATCGGTTATAGATACCACAGGTTCTATTAGAAGCAGACTCCTCTTGAGACCCCACATAGCGGGTACTGTGTACTATCACCAAATTTCCCTCAGGGTCCCTAGAACAGAGCTTTGCCTATTGGGCCTCAACAGAAGCTTGAACTGAATAAAAGTTCACTAGTCCCAGACATTTAGAACAACAGACTAGATGTCATTTGTCTGCCGGATCTTATATGGTACAGAGAGGATTCCTGAAAACATGATTTAGCCTCTTGGAGAAAACAGGTGGTTCCGTGCCTGTGTCCGAAATCAATAACTGCTATTCTACCTCTAGGTCCATCCCCACCTGACGGCAAACAGGGAAAGTTTCAAAATACTTTGGTACCTCTGTCTTCTAACATTAACAAAATGTGAAAATACCCATTTCTATTTTCCTAGAAGTAAGGGAAGGATTAAATTATTTTTGATAGAGAGAGAATTCAGTTTCTCAGAGAGAAGACAGGACATCATTCATCACTTTTGTGATGGTGAGCCTATGGAACTTACTGTAACTGTTCTGCCCCTTGGTCAGAAAGTAGGCCACTTGAGTTACAAGAAATTTCTCCTTGCTGTTTAGGAACTGATGTTTGTTCTCTGTCCGCTGGGGGCGCAATTTCTCGTTGATTTCTAGAGTGTTCATCTCTGCCTTCTTACTGGACCAAGGGCCCGCATATACCACCATGCTGACGTGTGTGGCAGAAGACGTGGAGTCAGGGACTGGGGAGAAGAAACCCAAACACATGATGGGTTACAAACCGGTGAAATCAAATAGGTTGAATCAGGACTGAGGGATGGCAGTAACTGAAATTCTTAACTTACTGTTGAGAAAAACGAGATCAGTCCCCACAGCACTTTAGGATCCTTAACCACAAAAACAAGGTTCGAGGTGTCTGAGTTCAGAGCTAAGGCACTGCCAGTCGCTCAGAGTCTCACAAGAGTGAGGAAGATTGTGGCCAGCGTGCCAGGTAACGGTCTGCAGTTGCAATAACAGAATTAGAAGGTGGGGGTGTCACGGAATCTTAGGAGCCTGCGTTCCAATTGCCCAGGCTTGGCTGAAACACAGGCACCCTGGTCTCACCTGAGGGTCACCACCAATGGGCTCATTCCTTCAGCATTCACTCTCAATATTCATGTACCTTTGTGACAATGCCACAGACCCATCTCTTTCCCAATACATCTAAGCACATTCCTCACTGTTTATCTCTTGTCTGTACAACATCATCAAGGCAGAAACAGTTTCCCAACAGGTTATATTTTCTTAATGGCAGTCATGAAGTCACCCCACCTGCTCCCAGTTAAAACAGATCTTAAGCCTTTTCTGCAAGTGTAAGATATGAAACTTTTAGCCTGCACTGATATCCTCTGCATCTTCTGCAGCTTTTTCTGTATCCACTAGAAAGTGAATGAATAATTCATTTTTTAAAAATGTTTTCTTTCCTGTCTCAGTATTATTCTTGCTGCATCTCATTGTTATGTTGATTTCTTTTTTCCTACTGGGGCACCAGTAAGAAAAGCATCTTGGCTTTCACTACACTCTAGACCAGTTTGACATCCCTATGTCCAAAGCTCTTCCTCTATGTGGGTTGATTTGTATTTTCATGGCACTGAGCACCACATTTCATACTTGTCAATTGTGGATGTCATTCTAGTGCCTCAAGAGCTCTTTTCAAGGGATCAAGTGATCAAATTCATGTATATAGAGATCTCCTGAAAACATGTATGACCATCTATCTTAGGAAGTTTCATAAACCTGATGCTATTTGGTTGTTTCCCTTTTGTTTTCCCATATACTGGAAAGAACAGGGCCATGAGCGGCTCTTATGGAATATGTTTTGATATATATTTTGTTGAGTTGGACTAACATCATTCATTTTTGGTTTCATTTCACTAACAGAACATGGCAAGATGAGGTCAGGGTTGGCTGGTGATCCTCAGTGGTGCAGCAGAAGGTGAGTTTGAGATGAGAGGAATGAGTAGGAAAGAGCAATCCCCTGAGCCACCTCCTCACTTTCTCAGCTTCCATCCCCACCGAGGTTTTGTGAGCCTGGAACTTGGGAGACTGTTCTGTAGCCCAGGTCTCCTAGGATTGGCTGCTGGACTTGCCTGAGTTGTGGGTGCACTGGGTGTGATCCTGGGCCGCTCAGCATTCATGTGGAAGTGAAGGAACGAGGACTGGATCAATCCCATTTGAAGGCGTGCCTCACTGCAGCCTGCACTGTCCTCCAATGACACTGGAAGGATACTGCTTTGAGATGTATCAACAGCTTTAAGTAAATGTATTTTCCGGGGTCTGGGAGACCTGACGTTCTGTGTCATGATGAAAATCTGTCAAGTTTCTTCATTTTAAAAATGATAAAACTGCAGGTTCACAAAGTTACATGGCTTACTTGAGGTCACACAGGGATGAGTTTTCAGCACTGCCAATAAAAGCAATCACAGTCATTATTCAGTCATTATTGATAGGATCCACATAATTCAGTAAATATTCACATAATTATTTAGTAGATATTCACTGACCAATTCATACAACGCATTTTGCTCAAAACTGTGCTCATATTTGGACGTTGTATCTTCACCATAATCCTTAAGGTAATGCTATTATCCATACGTAACAGGTAAGAAACCTGAAGAAGAGGGATAGCAAAGCATGTATGTGGACATATTTCCATTTTTTGGTTTTTGTGATGCTAGAAGAATGACCAGAATGAGTCACAGGAAGAATATACATACCTGGATTATTACCCAGGACAGAGGTGTGCCCTCCTAGAGGACTGGGACCAAATTTCTCAAGTGTCTGAAACCTTGCTTTAACATTATGGGAAATAACCTCTATCACCTGGAATTTCCCTGAAACTTTGGAATATACAAGAGAAGTATGAGACTTGGGTCTTCCCTTGGCTGTGTTTAATTCACTCTTCTATGGAATACCAATGATTCTCACTAAGACTTTTGCCTTTTTATAACCACAGTGTATGTTTTATGGAGATGATTTTACACTTTGCTCTATTTAGAAAGAATAAATATGAGCAATGGTTTAGGTGTTATGCCTTGGACTTAATATTTTTCTGATTCCTGTTTTGAGATTACATTCTCATGGAAATAGAAAAATACTTATGATTTCTCATAAGGCCAAGTTTGTTATTAGTTTGAGTTTTTGAAGTTGAAGCACAAACCTTAGATTTGTGCACTCAATTTGGGTACCCACTGATAGCACTGAACTACCTCATTTCTGAAAAAAAGGAAAACTTCTGGAATTTAAATTCTTTCATCTAATACATTTCCTCACAACATGCTGCCAGCATCACATTCTGGTCACTTACTATTAAAGTGAATGCTTTTTTTTTTTTCTTTCTTTTTTTCTTTCCTTTTTGAGACAGGGTCTTGCTCTATCACCCAGGCTGGAGTGCATCGGTGATTATAGATCACTGCAACCTCGAAATCCTGGGCTCAAGCGATCTTCCTACCTCAGCTTTCCAAGTAGTTGGAACTCTAGGCGCACATCAGCATTTCTGGCTAATTTTTTTATTTTTCATAGAGACAAGGTCTTGCTATGTTGCTCAGGCTGGTTTTGAACTTCTGGCCTCAAGCGATCCTCCCACCTAGGCCTCCAAAAGTGCTGGGATTACAGGAGTGAGCCACTGAGCCTGGCCTGAAATGTTTTTTTTTTCCTTTTTTTTTTTTTTTAATGAAAATACAGGACATGGGGCCGGGCGCGGTGGCTCAAGCCTGTAATCCCAGCACTTTGGGAGGCCGAGACGGGCGGATCACGAGGTCAGGAGATCGAGACCATCCTGGCGAACACCGTGAAACCCCGTCTCTACTAAAAAATACAAAAAACTAGCCGGGTGCGGTGGCGGGCGCCTGTAGTCCCAGCTACTTGGGAGGCTGAGGCAGGAGAATGGCGTAAATCTGGGAGGTGGAGCTTGCAGTGAGCTGAGATCAGGCCACTGCACTCCAGCCCGGGCGACAGAGCGAGACTCCGTCTCAAAAAAAAAAAAGGAAAAAAAGAAAAAAAAAGAAAATACAGGACATGGAGATGTGGAAAGACACTTTGCTTTATTACTGTTATCATTATTTCTATAGTATAATTCATATATCACAAAATTCACCATTTTAACCACACATTTCAGTCTTTTACCATATTTCAAAAGTTTCACAACCATCACCACTACCTCATTCCAGAATATTTTCATAATGCCAAAATCCATGCCTGTACCTACGGGCAGTCACTCTTCAATTCCCCCCTTTTTGCTGTCTCTGACAACCACTAATCTACTTTCTCTAGATAGAGATGTACTTGTTCTGGGCACCTCCTCTATATGGAATAACAAACTGTGGCATTTTTCATCTGTTTTTTAGCATACTGTTCTCAAGTTTCATCCTTCGTAACCTGCATCAGTACATGAACTTTTATGGCCCAATAATATGCCACTATATGGTTACACTACATTTTGTTTATTCATCAACTGATGGTGGTTTAAGATGTTTCCACTTTTTAACTATTAAGAATAATGCTGCTATGAGCAGCTTTGTACAAGTTTTTGAGTGAACACCTGTTTTTCATTTTCTTGGTTATAAGCCTAGGAGTGCAACTGCTGCATCATATGTCACCTTATGTTTAACTTTTTTGTTGTTGTTGTTAAACTTTTTGAGGAACTCACACACTGTTCACCAAATTCAGTAGCTATGCCATTTTACATTCCCAACAGTAACATATGAGAATTCCATATTCTCCATAACTTTCCAAACATATATTGTCTTTATTTTTTTCTTAAGTCATAGTACTGGGTGTGAAGTGGTATCTCATTTTGGTTTAAATTTACATTTTCCTAATGATGAAAAACATTGAACATCTTAGCATGTGCTTCTTGGCCATTTGTGTGTTTCCTTAGAGAAACCTCTACTCACAGCTTTCTTCCCATTGTTAAATTAGGTTGTTTGTCATTTTTTGCTCTGTTATATGAATTCCTTATATACTCTAGGTACTAGACCTATGTCAAATATATAATTTGGAAATAGTTCTCCCATGATGTGGATTATCTTTTCACTTCCTTGACACTGTCCTTGGAAGCATATAAGTTTTTATTTTAATGAAGTCCATTTCTCCATCTATTTTTGGATTGTTTGTGCCTACTTAAAAAATGTCTAATCCAAAGTCACAAAGATTTGTACCTGTTTTCTTCAAGACATCATTTTTTGAAGGAGAACTTTCCTGGGTTGTAGAGGAGGGTGGACATGGTTTATTTATGCCTCCTGTCCATTACCGATGTTTCTCCTGATTGTTATCCATAGGCTCACCACCCCTCCATGGAGCATCCATGGCCTGTAGCAGAGCTCTGGGGACTGATATCCTTCCACTGACTTTGGCGCTGGTGAGAGCCCTGGTCGTGTGGTTCAGCTTGGCCTTAACCCAACCCACTTGCACATACTCCTCAGGCCCTTTAGAGTTGACGCTGAGAGCCTCTCTGAGAACACTTGCCAGTCCATGCTGTTCTAAGGCTGGAGCAAACTTCCTCTGTCTATTCCAGACAGAGGAAATTCCAGGGGTTGGACTCAGTCAAGACATCTCTGGTGTTAGAAAGTAGACCTGTTTCAGGGTTTGGGGAAGATTGTTCAATATGAACTAGGTCCTCTCTAATTATTTTTACTATATGTGTGACTTCTTTCCAGAAACAAAGGAATAATATTTATCTTAGAACATTCTGTCTATCCTTTGT